AAAGATGAGGATGCAAAGAAAGTCACAAAACAAGAAAAAGGCAGCTACTTGCTCAGTGAAAGGTCCACCACTCAGCCTTGAAAGACAACAAATTTAAGGAATTCTAAGATACCAAAGGACTCATTACAGAAATACACTTGTAAACCTTGTTTATATTTCCTGACAGGAGGCATATTCCAGTACAGGAGAGGGCTCAGTTTAGGAAAATATAATAGTATACATTAACACTATCAGAGCCAAGGGCAATGGTCACATGGAGGAGGTGTCAAAGAGTATTTGCTCAAGACTGGAAAGGAAAAGACTGCTTTCCTCTAAATATTACTTTAGGTAGAGTGAGTTGCATGTCTGTGTACACACAATCCCTGGACACACAGTTTCAGGTGTGAGAGTGTCTATCAACCATACTTGCTGACACACAGGCTGTACTGATCAGATGAAGTTATGATGAACAGTGAGCACAGAGACATAGCTCTGGACACAGTGAACAGTTCAGGGTCCATCTCTCCCATCTTATTTGGTTTGCCCTCTCTCTATATATATTGCACAACCCTGACTATTGTGGAGGAGAATGCATCTTATCACGTATAGTAGAAGAGCTGCTGGCAATAAACTCTCTAGTCCAGGATTTGGCAAAGCAGCGACCTGGACACACATGTAGACCCAGGTTGGGTACTATAAGTAGCCTACTCTAGGCAATTTCTCCAGACAACCTCTTTTTTTTTCAAGACCAGGCTGGCAAACAGCTGCTGTGTAGCCATGGCCTTGTGTCTGCTGTGTCTGGGTCTTATTCTCCTGGGTGCCCTGAAGATGCAAGCTGAGAAGTCTCTTCCAACTTCCACCCCAACTCCACCACTGAGCAAATTCCCCCAGAAGCCAGACTTCTTGTATGAACAGGTAGGTTTCTCAAATAGAAGATTAAGAGGGTTAATGAATGGAGAGAATAAGAAGAGGGCAGGGAAGAAGTGATGAGACTCAACAGCAGTGTTGGGAGGGAAGACTCAGAGAATCCAAGGCTCATGCATGTTCAGTTGGAACATCTGCAGTCTTTATTTCCAGTAACAATGTGGGGTTCTACAAGACCCACTTGACACTTCTACTGGAGTACTCCTTCAGTAAAATCTCAGTGAAAACTCCAAAGTCATGATCATCCTTGTCTGTGTAACACTCAAACGGTTGCTATCTTCCCAGAGTACTTTATTTTTTGGGCTTTGCTACCAGGTGAGCTGCTGTCCTGTGGTACCAGTAGGCACAGCATGGGAATTGTGGGCATGGATCATCACTGGGTTCTGACTATCATCACACCATTACAGTTCCAGGGAAAGTGGTATTGCATTGGTGTTGCCCAGAACACGCATTTCAATGAAAGCCAAAATGAACCAGTCTTGCAAAACACCATCTATGAGCTAAATGATGACCACAGCTACAATGTCACCGCTGACTGGGTCAGGTAAAGCTGTAACATTCTGTGGTCTAACAGGTAGAATGGTGACACAACCTGTGTGTTAACCTACTGAAGGGGAGTGTCCTTGTTCTAATTGCTCTATATAGAGTCAATGCTCCTCTCTTCTTTGTTTTGTCTTCCCTAAGATTCTTGCTTACTTATTTCTCCTTTTCTGTTGTTTCCCTTGTCTCTTCTTCCCACTCTTGCTCAGTCCCTCCACTTATATTAAAAAGTGGTTTCAGTAAAATTACAGAAGGAGAAAGTTAAAAAACACTCATTTATCCCAGAGTAGAGGAGGAACACTGGTTCCTTTAATGGGTCTTGCCTGTGCTACATTAAATGTTTTTTTTTAAAAGTGAGCTGAAGTAGTTTAATTCTAGCTGGCCTCCCTTCAGAGGCCAATGTATGAAATTCACAAGTTTGAATTCAATCAATGAAACTGAGGAGACACTGTCTCAATTTTAGAAATAAAAATGAACTAATATATATAGCTCAACAACAAGGCCATGTGTTCAACAACTGTAGCACTACTACAAACACTGTCATCACCCATAAAGGAAAAGGAAACTCTGTCACAGTAAGAGCTGCTGGCCTCACTTAAAACTGCAGCAGAGCATCCATCCATCAGTATGGCTGCTGTGCAGGGAGTGAAGAACTTTTGGGGGGGGACACACTTGCAGAACTAAAGTCCATCTTAACAAGAAAGGATCTGCTGTGGGGCTCAACAATTGGAGCAAATTGAAGCACCTGAAGCACAAGGTTGACATAACAGCCATATTATCTGAAGTAGTCTCGGTAGAGGAGGAAAGATATGTGGCAGGAATGGAACACTCAAGGTATCATGTACTGACCTTTTTGCAGTTCATTTTCACTTTAACCACTGGTTAGTTCCCCCATGGAGCATTTCAGAATTGAGGGGATGGGATTATGGTGTCAAAGTTATCTGTACTCTGATGAGAGGTTAGAATTTGATAATGGCCAGGATATTACTTCACATTGAATGCAATAGAAACTCAGAAGAAAGTTGCATGAAAATTTCAAAGAGCATAGCAGTAAAGTGAGTGTAGTGAGTCAATGCATGGGACTGTTTTCATCAGGCTGCCTCAGGATGGAAGCAGGGGTGAAACAGTGGGAAAGGGTGGGTTAAAGGAACTATATTCTACTATGCAGAAGACCATCCAGATGTTCAGAGAGGAACTGCAAGTACCACCCATGAGGACCAGTTGGGGACCCTCTCATAATGAGAGATAGGTTTTGCTGGTCTGGGACTTCAAATCATACTGTAGACCTTGTCCAGCTTTCTACAACCCAGGAATAGGGTCTTGTGTCTTCTCCTTCTTCACCTTGATTAAGCACCATATGCACTCTTACAGGGATGGGAAATGTGAACGCGATAATGGGATAATATTACCAACTGATAAACCAGGCCTGTTCTCCTTGCAAAATGTGACACGTGAGTCCTGGGTGAGGGAGGTATGAGTTGGCATTCCGTAAGCAGTGTCCTTCCTAAAGGAACAGGCTTCCTGCTCTCCCACCCAGATGCATACATTGAAGAAGCTGATGCTATGGATTGGGAAAGATGGGGACAAAGGATGAGCCTTAACTCCCATCCTGCAGGTTATGGTGGAGTACAGAATTTCACTGTGCGAGTGCTAGAAACTGACTACAAGCAGTTTGCCATGGTGTACTTGGAGAGGATTGTCCATAACATGGTGTTCTTCAAGCATGTGCTCTATGGTGAGTCATCCCTGCATATCCTCAGTGTCTTGGTGGGCGGGACTTGCAGAAGGTTTCCCCAGGACTCAGAGCCATAAGGTTCCTCCAGGTCAAAATCTCCACTTAGGGAGGAGGGCTTTCCACACCTCATTGGGAAGGTTCTCTGAGGCTATTCCATCAGGCAACAGTGTTTAGGTTTAGGAGTTGTCACACACGTGTAAATACAGTACTAGTTTGGCTAAGCCAGGAAGGTTGAAAGTTTGTGTATTTATTTATTTTAACTAATTAATTAATTAATTATTTGGTACACAGTCTCACTATGCAGCTTGATCTCATAGTGATCCTTCTGTCTCAGCCTCTCCAGGGCTGGAATTGTGCCACCAAGCCAATTTTAGTGTCCAGGACAGCACAGGGACAGCATATCATGTAGTACCAAGATCCAAGCCAGCTCATTTCACTTGACAGCCAGGCACTTAGACTATTGAGATATCTCCCCAGACCGAGGATGGTTGAAATTTTAAGCACAGCTGAAACACATACCAAGACAAAGGCGTAAAAGGAAATACATTAGAGAAATCCCTTTATTTTGCTACTTGTTCCATTTTGGACACAGGGAGGAAGAAGGAATTGAGTCCTGAAATGAAGGAGCACTACCGTACCGTGGCAAAATCTCTGGGCGTCCCCGATCGCTATGTCACATTCACTGACCAACATGGTAAGGGGTATCTGCAATGATGCAAGAGGAATGGTGGGTCTGTCCATGTCCGATGCTAGTGTACGAGGCACAAAAGACAGAAGACCCTCCCTTGGGTCTCTGTGTCCTCAGGTCTCTTGGCACCAAGTACTTCCTGGGACAGTTTAGCCAAAGCCTGCCTAAAGGACTGGCTTTTGCTCAGGACCACATATCCCAGTATCCCTAGTCTTGTTTTCCAATGTCAGTTCCTACCTATACCTTGGATTTCCTAATCTGAACCACCTTCTTCCTGATATCTTCATTCTGAATGTGGTGGATCATCTCACATGTGCCCTTCAGCTTGCTCTTCCTTGATATGGGACACCTCCTTACTCTCACATGTCCTAGCCGGGGGAAGGTGCACCACACACATTACACAGGTCTGTGGGCTGAGAAACTGTTATGACCCACTTTTTTAAACTGGCCAGAACAATGTATGCTTGAGCCGGTGTGAGGCCCTGATTACTGATTTTCCCATCCTCAATCTCTGAGTCTAGGTTAACCACAGATTATGCTCAACAGGGTTAGAATGGGTCTGAGATAGCCACTGCAATGCACGGTTCTTGGAACAAAGATACTGCGGTCTGTCCATCTGTCTGTCTGTCTCTCTGTCTCTCTGTCTGTGTCTGTCTGTCTGTCTGTCACTGACATGCCTGTTCTGGATAATTTCTCTCCCACAGTGGACTG